ACGCAATTGTTGAACGCAAAGTTGAATAATGCAAACACTGCTTTACATGCAGACAGACTGGGTGAACTCTGGAACGACTACTGCAGAAGCTGCGTGGATGAGTACGAAGAAGAAACCATCCAATATCTTTTGTGCCATTGCCCTACTCTATCAAAATGAACAGTAAAAGCGCTTTGCGGTTATTACTAAAAGTAATAGATGATGAAACCTTATGCGCGTTCTTTATAAGCACCAATTTTCCTTACAGATAACTCTGTGTCCAAGTGTGTCAACATAGCACTGCCGCCCAACCTATATTAACCTTACGAAAATATTTTAATCTTCCGATATTTGTTTCGGTAGAATTATCTCTTCAATCTATTCATATTTAAGTCTAAAAAAGACTCTCAAATGTTTTCAGTAAACATGGGGTTAGGCGTAGTCTGTTGTATGCCAGAAATGACTGCCTCCACCGAGTGTTCATTTAATTTTCTTGAAGGCAGCAAGAGTTGTGCCCACTGGCAGACTTTGAATTTCTCTCAGTCAATGATGAGCCTAAATTCATCCAGATTTTCTCGGATGTGTCTTCCCACGTATAAAGCTGAAAATTTAAGTTAAGGGCAGCGTAAGACATTCGAGAATTAGAACTTGTAAAGCATACAGCAATTGTCATTCGGAGTTTTTCTATCCGATTTCCTACACCTCTGATTGACAGTTGGAGAGCAGTACAACTGCCAATTAGCAGATAATAAATCTGACCATGAAAGTGCAGACCCCGAGTGACAGAGCCCACGAGTTGCAAAAGAGCTATTGAAATGGCCCAACTGTCCAACTTTCAGTACTAGTTGCGGCGAGTGAATATTTTTGCAGTGATTATTTGGATTCTAGCTTTATCTTAAAACTATTTGCTTTTGACTTTCTTCCCAACTTATTATCTGTATATAACTCCCATACGAATACTGAGATACGAATAACATTTTGGTTTTCCCTCTTTTTAGCCATCTCCAGTTGTCCACAATTGATTACAGAACTCTATGCGAAATCGAATGATCCTGAATTTGCTGATTATTTACGTGCCTCAAATCGCAATTGTGGCGGTGCTGGTTCTGTTGTTTGCTGTCCGACAACAGACAAAGCCGTCACAAATGCGCCAGTGATAATACACAATTCTGACGAGGTGCCAACACGTCCACTAACTTTGGAGGAGGGTTGCGGTCATACATCGAATTCTTATAAGAAAATTGTTGGCGGAGAAGTGAGTAAGAAGGGTGCATGGCCATGGGCAGCACTGCTAGCCTATCCAGATGGTTCTTCAGCTTCACCATTCAAATGTGGCGGCACACTGGTGACAGCACGACATGTGATTACCGCGGCACATTGCATACGGAATGATCTGTAAGTGAAAGAAAATGAGCGGGAAGGCGATTTTCTTCTTTAAGTGTGAACAAATTACTGACTTATTTCTTTATTTCTTTTGTTTTTAGCGCCTATGTACGTCTGGGTGAGCACGATTTGAGTACCGACACGGAGACGCGACACGAGGATATAAATATTGTGCGGGTAAGTGGTGGGGGGGGGGGGGGGAAAAATTTTTTTTNTTTATTTCTTTTGTTTTTAGCGCCTATGTACGTTTGGGTGAACACGATTTGAGTACTGATACGGAGACGCGACATGAGGATATAAATATTGTGCGGGTAAGTGATAGGGGGGGTAAAATCTTTTTTATATAAAGCGGTGGGTTTAAGTTTTAACAGAAGTTATTGTTCATAGTATTTAATTCAATATTTTATCAGCGAAATCCAAATTCCAATTGTAGTTATACAAGAATGTTTGGTCTTCCCCTCCTAAGACATACCACCAAATTCGTCATAGAAGATCTTTTTATTGGGTTCATCACATACATCCTCATTATGTGACCTTACTTAGCATTCATTTTTAAAGCTTAGTCTTCACGATTCACAAACCCGTCTAAGCCCTTTAATTTCGAATATATTTACGATAAATATATCGACAAACAGTTCGATAAATGTATCAATCTATACGGTTATCATTATCGGACGTCATGAAGTACCGACTCATCGTTATCGATAAAAAAGTCGATATTATTGGTGAAAGAACTAATATTTACCTTATTACTTATGGAAGTGATATCGATTAGTATATCTTTGGCCATGATTTTGAAAGTTGTTTTAGTCATTTTACTCTTCTTTTATATATCTGATCGGCTACTTCTAACCAAATTCTTCTGTTAATTTTTTTATTGTCATAATTTATCGGCAAAATCTATCACTTTTAAAATTATAGGCACATTTATGAGCATCGACACTGCTATATAAAACTATACCGATAAACATATTGTTAAAATATTAATTATGAATCGATATGCCTATCGAAATTTGATAATATTACCATTCAAATTGATATCGTCAAATATATCGATAAAAAATCTATGAAGTCGGTAAAAATGTCGCCCCATAGGCGATTACTAAATTTTTATGCATAAAAAATGCAGTGGCATTCAAATTGATATCGATAAAATATCGATAAGCAGTTGAATAACATTGATAGACGTAATAATTTCGAGCACTGTACCTACCAAAATTGTATCGACTACTGCATTTATCAGCATGCAATATCAAAAATCACTGACATTTCAATTAATATAAATACATTGAAAAACAATTGGATAAAAGTGGCAAAATCAATAGCATTACACCTATCGAAATTGTACCCATTAATACATTTATAAGCATCGGGTATAAAATTGAAATTTTAATCGATGTCGATAAATATATCGATACAAACTTCATAATATCGGTAAAAGAATCAACTAGTCGAAAGAAATTCGACTAATAGACTTATTATTCGTAAAATCGATTTAACCGATAGCACGATCAGTGAAATTATTAATAAAAATCAAGCAAATAGACATGTATTAATATCAGGGACCATAACAGTTATAATCTTAATAATAAAAATCATAATTTAACTATTAAAATTGAATTTCTATTTTGCTGATTAAATTTCACTTTTATTTTATTATTTTTATTTTTTTCAAGAACAATCGTCTTATTATTATATTTTCGATCAAGTTCCTTATTTTTGATTTTTGTTTTTTCGATAATATTAAAACCGTCATTTTCAGATTTGAATTTTTGTTTATAAAAGATTTAAACCGATAGTAAAAACACAGTCTTTATCATAACGGTGCAAAAAGATTGAAAAAAAATAAGAATCCAAAATAACGATTTATAGAAAAAATAAAAATCCCAAAATAATGATTAAATTAGTCTGAAAAAAATAAAAATCCCAATTTAAGCTTATTCTTGGTTGGAAAAAATATAAATAAAAAATAGGGATTTTGCAACGATCTAAAAATATAAATCTTGATATAGAACCGTTACTTTCGGTCTCAAATTGATATCGATAAAAAAATATAAATAAGCCGGAAAATTCCAATACAAAGCATCGTTAGTGCTTCCAACTATAAGTTAACGATTAGCATACTGATAAATCTATAAGTTTCCAAATTCTTAAACTAATTTTTGAATTCTTTGCTTCTCTTTTCTTTTTGTAGAAAGAAGCACACCCACAGTACAACAAACGTAATGGCAAGTCGGATGTGGCTTTACTTTGGCTCGAACGCAACGTACAGTTCCGCGACACCATTTCACCAATCTGTCTCCCCACTACACAATCGCTTCGCACAAAATCCTACGTAAATTATACACCTTTCGTTGTGGGCTGGGGCAAAACCATGGAGGGTGGTATTTCGGCGACGGTCTTGCAGGAGTTGCAAATACCGATTTTCAAAAATGATGTCTGCGAAAATAGCTACCGTCGCATCAATCGCCTAGTCTCGCAGGATCAATTCGATTCAGGTGTACTATGCGCAGGCGTGCTCTCTGGCGGNCAAAGTAAAGTTAGTTTACCGGTCACTTTATCGTCTCGATATACGAGTTTTCGTTTTCTCATCAGCGCATTAATTTCTCGAGTCGATAAACTGTTGCTCACCCGATGCAACCTTTAAAATTTGTACCCAACTTTAAATTTTGGTTTGGTTTTGGTTCATGAGTCAGATATATTAGATATTTCAACCAAGGTTTTGGTTTTTGCTAACAGTTGCTCTTGCTCTATATTTGCTTATGTTGCATTGCCAACCTTTGAAATTATATGACGAATGTAGTGAAGTTTCACTCTCGGAACTGTAGTGAAGTTTCACTCTACGAAATAACAAATTTATTTTTACCGGTAAGATAAGAAAATTAAAACACTTTAAAGTGAGGAACAATTTATCTGCCCTGTTAGCAAAGGCAACTTTACTGCTTATATTAGAAAACGGCCCTTATTATTCGTAAAATCGATTTAGGGCCATTTTCTAATGTAAGCAGTAAAGTTGCCTTTACTAACAGGGCAGATAAATTGTTCCTCACTTTAAAGTGTTTTAGTTTTCTTACCTTGCCGGTAAAAATTAATTTGTTATTCCGTATAGTGAAACTTCACTACATTTCCGGGAGTGAAACTTCACTACATTCGTCATAAAATTTCAAAGGTTGGCAATGCAACATAAGCAAATATAGAGCAAGAGCAACTGTTAGCAAAAACCAAAACCTTTGGTTGAAATATCTAATATAGCTGGCTCATGAACCAAAACCAAACCAAAATTTAAAGTTGGGTACAAATTTTAAAGGTTGCATCGGGTGAGCAACAGTTTATCGATTCGAGAATTTAATGCGCTGATGAGAAAACGAAAACTCGTATATCGGGACGATAAAGTGGCCGGTAAACTAAAGGTTAGATGAGAAAACGGCCCTTAACCGATAGCACGATCAGTGAAATTATTAATAAAAATCAAGCAAATAGACATGTATTAATATCAGGGACCGTAACGGTTATAATCCTTATAATACAACTCATAATTTAACCATTGTAATTGAATTTCTATTTTGCTGATTAAATTTCAGTTTTATTTTATAATTTTTATTATATTTTCGATCAAGTTCCTTTTTTTAATTTTTGTTTTTTTCGATCGTATTAAAACCGTTATTTTCAGATTTGAATTTTTGTTTATAAAAGATTTAAACCTATAATAAGAACACAGTCTTTATCATAACGGTTAAAAATTTATCGAAAAAATAAAAATCCACAATAACGATTTTTTTATAGAAAAAATAAATATCACAAAAAAACGATTAAATTGGTCTGAAAAAATTAAAATCCCAATTTAGTCTTATTCTTGATTGGAAAAAATAAATATATAAAAAATAAGGATTTTGCAATGATCTAAAAATATAAATCTAGATATTTAACCGTTATTTTCGGTCTCGAATTGATATCGATAAAAAAATATAAATAAGCCGGAAAATTCCAATACAAAGCATCGTTAGTGTTTCCAACTATAAGTTAACGATTAGCATACTGATAAATCTATAAGTTTCCAAATTTTTAAATTAATTTTTGAATTGTTTGCTTCTCTTTTTTTTTTTTGTAGAAAGAAGCACATCCACAGTACAACAGACGTAATGGCAAGTCGGATGTGGCTTTACTTTGGCTCGAACGCAACGTACAGTTCCGTGACACCATTTCACCAATCTGTCTCCCCACTACACAATCGCTTCGCACAAAATCCTACGTAAATTATACACCTTTCGTTGTGGGCTGGGGCAAAACCATGGAGGGTGGTATTTCGGCGACGGTCTTGCAGGAGTTGCAAATACCGATTTTCAAAAATGATGTCTGCGAAAATAGTTACCGTCGCATCAATCGCCTAGTCTCGCAGGATCAATTCGATTCAGGTGTACTATGCGCAGGCGTGCTCTCTGGCGGCAAAGATACATGCCAAGGTGACTCTGGTGGGCCATTGATGATACCAGAGGTAAATTAAGTGATCATTTAAACTTAAACTAAAAGCGTTGTACTACATTTTGATTTCATTTCGTCTGCACAGTCGTATAAAGGTGACTTCCGCTACTATTTGATCGGTGTAGTCTCGTATGGTGTGGGTTGTGCGCGACCAGAAGTGCCTGGTGTATACTCGAGTGTGCAATACTATGTCGATTGGATATTGGAGAAGATTGCTGATACAACATGAGATTTGAATTATTATTTTTTTTTTAATATTTATTTAAGTTATTATATTTTTGGTTTTAATTTCGAAATGCCTAAATATGCTAATGGTTTTTAAATGAGTAAGAAGTCATACTTTAATTCTTTTTTTAATAAAGAAACAAATAACATAAAATAAAATCGAAATAAACAAATATTTTGGGGGTTTTATTATATTTTAAAAATGTCAAATAAGGAAGTACTAAATTTTAATCGTATTATGAATACTATATTTTTAAAACAACTCACTTGTGACCTTTCTATTAATTTTTGGTTTCTCCAAATACACTGTTGAGTAATCATATGCAAAGTATTTGTCTCTCAGCTTTATTTTTACTTTATTTTTATGCGAAGCACGCTTAATTCAATTTTGTCGTAAAATTCGATCAGAAGCGCCTACTGAATTTAGAATGCTTGCATATATGTATTAATTCCATATTGAACACGTTTGATGAGTTTAATCGACGCAATAAATTAATTTGTTGCATTTTTATTGATGCACTTTTATGGTGTTGCAAGTGTTGATGATGTGATCACATTAATTGTTAGGCCGGAACTTGGATTAATTAAGTTATTAAAGACCAAGAGTTTCCAAAACACTTTTTTAAAGGTTTTTTTGGTGGCCAATTACTCACAATTTATGAGCATGACGGAATATTTTGTTCATCCTACTTTAAATACCAGATATTGATTTAGTGCAAGTTCGTGTCATAAGTCTTTTATTTTAAAGAGCAAGGCAAGCTTAGTTAAAGCCAGCATATAACAAGACTGTTTCGTTGCTGCGGGTTTTGCTGAGGGTTTGCCACCCCTCTACCTTCAGCTACAACAAACCAAAATTCTCTGTCATGCCAAAATATAAAAAAAGGAGAAAGCGAAAGACATGGAAGCCTGTCCGAGTCCGTTGGAGCCATCCCACCCCTTTTAAATGCCGACGGCACTTAGAATTGAGTTCCGCCAAGGCACCTAATTCATCATGCGGAACTCACTTTTCCTGACCTAGTCCCGTCGTCAACTTAGTCACCTGTTAAATCGTCATGTCACCTGTCCGTTAGTCACCTGTTAAATCGTCATGTCGCCTGTAATATACCCACGTCCCCTCTGAGCTGCGCCTGAGCAGCACCCACACCAACCTGAAATTTCCTCGAATTCCATTGTAAATAACAACACTATGCTCAACCAAATTTTATTATTAGACATACAAATTCATTTTTTTTAATAAATCAAAAGGAAACCTAACACAAAAAAATTATTCTAAAGTTTTTTTTTTAATTTCACTATGCAACAATTTAAAAATTCACGATAATTATTAAAATTTCAACTAAAATCGAATTTTACTAACAATATCTATGTTATTTGCTTATTTTCAAATCCCTATCTTTCTTTTGTATTTTCTTGTGCATTTTTACTCCGCGCTTTCTACTGTAATTCTTTATTTTTTTTTGTAATCGTTTTTGTATCTAATTATTCAAATCTCGACCCCCAAAATATGCGTATACATATGTATGTACATATATGTTTAACAAATGCAAATATGTATGTATATATATATATGTATGTGCACGTCTTTATATATTATTATTTTTTCAATCGTTGGTGACCCTTCCTAATACTACTGAGTATGTATGTACATTAGACTGCATCACCAAAAAAAAGTTGCGGGTTTTCCGCCGGGACCACAAAATTTATTATATTTTAAGACGTCGGTCGGCCAAAATTTTTCCGAAAAAATATTAAGGATTTGAGCAAGCTGGAGCGATTTGAAAATACCTCCAAATGGAGTTTTTTATGAATAAAAATAGTTTCTTAAAGAACTTTTTGAAAAAAGTCCGCTCAGATAACAAAACCGATTAGGCTTAAAAAATCTGCATACAAATATTTAAAAATCTTTTCAATGGTTACATGTGTATATCTTGGTAACAGCTGTACCAATTTCTTCCAAACTTGGCACAGTTGTTAGCCTTGCTACAGCATACGAAATAGCCGAAAATTTTTAAAATCGGACAATAACCACGCCCACATCCCATATAACGGTAATTTAGAGAAATGCGCAATCTTCGATAAATATTAAAGCTAATTTATTGAAAATTGATGCTTGCAACAAATCTTTACCGAGAAATATGCTTATGATGAAGTTTTGGAAAAGTGGGCTTGGCACCGCCCACTTATGATCACATATAGTTATCTCCCGCTGAACTTTCCATTTCCTGTACTATAAATCTAATTTAAACGTTTTTTCAACTTAAAGAAAAAATGTTACGACAAATCGGTGCCGCACAGTGCTAAATTCAAAAATGCAATTTATTTTTGGATAACTTTCATACTTTAACTGTAAATGCAGTTTGTAGTTGAAATTTGGGTTTGTTTTATTTTCAAAAGTGAGGTGTCAAATGAAAGGGCTTGGTCTGTAAATGTCCAATAAAGTTTTTTATTTTTTAAAAGGGTTGCCACCTGTTAAAATTTTTATTAAAATTATTTGATAAGTAAAAGGAATTAGATATTACAATATGGGTATCAATTGAAATAGTTTTGAAAACACTTTACTTCTAAACGAAACGTAGAGGGGTTGCCACATGTTTAAAAAAACAAATTCACTTTATTTAAGGGAATAAGGTAACTGAAATATGTATGTATATCAATATGAGTATCAGAAAACTGAAAAAATTTGACATATTTAGAAAGCAATAAGTGAAGATTAAAAACATTCCTGAGTTAATTTAAGAGCCCAGTAATTAAAAAGGAATGTAATCAGAACAAATCACTGATTGACAATGTATGTATTTGTAATAAAATAACAAATACGAAGGCGGAATCCTATGGTTTGACGTAATTATTATTTTAGTTTAACTGAAATCGACTTTACAAACAGGTGGCAACCATAATCGTAATATTTTTAAGCTAAAACCATCTTAAACCTCTTTCGTCTGACTTCCTTATGGTGATACCTATCTATTTCAATTATCTAATTCATTTAATGCAAGTGAAATTTGATTTTTTTAAACAGGTGGCAACTCGTTGCATGTAGTTAATACACACTTCGATTGATACCCATCTCTTAATAATTCATTTAACTTATAAAAAAAATTTGAATCTAATTTTTCAACACTTTAATTTTTTAACAAGTGGCAACTCTTTAAAAAAAATAAACCTTCTGTTGTTCACAGGTCAAGCTGTTTAATCTGGCACTTCATTTTTAAAAATTGAACGAATCGTGCAGATCTCACGGCACTGACAAAAAATTAAAAAAAAATTTTATGCATTAGCGAAAAACGCATTACTTCAGAAAGTGCAAAAAATGAGCAGGACACCCTGTGTTTAATTTTATTGCAAAATTTTAATTCCTGAAATTCTCCACTTTCTATATGGAAACAAGCAACGTCAAACCAACATTTTATTTCAAAGAATATATCTTTGACATTTTTTTTTTTGTGAAGAGCTTACGCATGGCTATGCTCTTATTAAAATTCTTAGTATAAAATTTGTCGACTTTAGTGGCTTCCTGGCGACATATAATTAATTTTTTAGGGAAATGTTTGTTTAATTTTTTTTAGTGGATAAATTGTCTTTACAAAAATACCAAACAAGTTCACAAGTAAAGTTTACAAATGTGTATATCCCTAATTTAATACGGTAACTTATAAATTTTTAGGAAGAACCTACATTTTGCATCAATTTTGCAGCGAAGAGAAACCAAAACAAAACAGAGACCGAGACAGAGACAGAGAACTGTCGAAACGAATTAAGAACGTGCTCGTGGGAATGNATTTTTTAGGGAAATGTTTGTTTAATTTTTTTTAGTGGATAAATTGTCTTTACAAAAATACCAAACAAGTTCACAAGTAAAGTTTACAAATGTGTATATCCCTAATTTAATACGGTAACTTATAAATTTTTAGGAAGAACCTACATTTTGCATCAATTTTGCAGCGAAGAGAAACCAAAACAAAACAGAGACCGAGACAGAGACAGAGAACTGTCGAAACGAATTAAGAACGTGCTCGTGGGAATGATGTAATTCGCGAGCGTAATTGGGGGAGCGAACAAAGTAATTCAGAATACCGTGGGAAAATGGTATAACATTGGGTATAACGTATGAAAATATGCCTTATGCATATTCTGTTTAATACAGTGAAGCCCATTTCTCTTTCTTCCACTGCCCGGTTTTAGAGAATATAGAAGTTGGCAACCGTGAATGACAGTCCTTTCACTATTGTAGTTATATTTTAAAATAAATAATTGCTTTCCAAAAAAATTTCTTAATAGAAAACAACGAGAAATTCAGCATTTTGTGCTTACCACTTGACGCTTGAGCAGCCCATAATTATAATACACTCATAAATATTCTGCGTACGAGACGGATATGCAAAATACCCAGAAATGTAGACTAGTCTATTGAATTATTTAAAAACAAGACCTCCGCTCTAGCTGAATTGTGTTGAAGTCAACCATTTATTGAATGTCATGTTAATCATAACGGAAGAGAGAGAGACACACTGCCTAAAGTAGTTTGACAATGCATAACTTCGTAAGTAAGTTGCTTTCGGGAAACACCCGCAGCGCGATATCTCTGGCTAATTACATATGCACATACTCAGCATACAGTCTGAAAACCGGCTAAGATTTTGTGTTTTTTTTTTTTGAAACACGAAGAGAAAAATGATGGCACAGCCTCTCAAGGTAATGGTAGTAGAACGCTGATCGAACGCTGTACACGGCTTTGATTGTTATTTTTGGTAACAGTTTCAAATTCGATGCGGTCGCGTAAAGAAAATGGTTTAGCACGGGCGCGTAGTAAATGTTGTGAATTAAAAAAATAAATACGATTTCAAAAGTGAAAATTTCGTACAATCTTTCGATTTAGAAAGCATTTAAAGTCTTCTATATTTTTTATGAATTTTTGGTGCTACAAATTTGGATACTAATAAAATAAAATAGAAGTTTCTTTTGAATGGAAAAGCCCTTTTGAAGTGTTTGAAAAAAGAAAAACAAATTTTATTTGCGGTCTACCAGAAAAAGAGGAAATTACTTAAATATTCTATGCATTCAGCGTAAATAAAACAGTGAAAAAATGAAACAATTTTTTGTTTTAGTGATTTTCTGCTTAGTTTTAAAAAAT